CTATGGCAGTCGGTAAGTACAAGTTTAAGTGGGGCTTAAAATAAACCCAAACGATTAGGTTAAAGTTCAAAAAGGGTCAAAGATCATCGCATGCCACACTAGACGAATTTCATATTGTGAAGCTATCTGTCGATGTGACATTCAGTTACTACCAATACTGGTGCGGATCCAGAATTTTTTTTCGGGAGTGGGGAGGGGGGTTCACATCTCGGTCAAAAAATTCCAGCCAAGAATTTCCTGACAAGGGAGAAAAAAAAACTGAAAACAAATAAACAAAATAAAAACAATGATAGTGGGGTCAATGTTTTCTAAGTTAGGGGAAGATGTCCAAAGTCATTTTTAATTTGCTTCAGTACGAGGGCCGTTAAAAAATTACGCGGACTTGTTGCACAGAAAAAATATTTGACGACAGAAACGGGCATAATGTCACACATAATATAAAAGAATCTTTACTTAGGTGGTCTTCAAAATTTCATATCAAAATGTTGTAAATTGGTATCAATTTTGAGTAATATTTCATGACATATCATTAAGTCATGGAGCAGCAAAATCTTCGACGTCACAGGCATATTAAAAAAATATGTTATTGAGCTTTCATTTTCTCAACATTTCCCCAAGAGTACCTGCACAGTTTGAGTTACCTTATCTACTCATCATCCAAACACCATTTCTTGTCAAGCTTAAAATGTAATAAACAAGTAAAGAATATTCTTTTTTTGTTTTAAAACCAAAAACTGCAGGTATTAATGAGATATAGTGTGATATTGGTGACTCCCAATCACGTTCTTTACAGTCCGGACAAAGTTTTCATCGATAATCTTCTTCCTGTCCTCACGCATAAGCCCCTTGACATAGGTCTAACCGTCTAAAATTTCAATTTGCTTTTTGAGGACGAATGTCACGAATACCCTAGTTTACTACATGTTTTATTACGCATATTTTGGATCTATGTTGGCGATATAGTGAGCATTACACATAATTTAACAAAAGTGTGGTGCGCCGTCAATTCAGGAAACTCATTTTCACAGTCGTTTTCACGGGAATCGCATTAGAGAAAAACCACTATATTTCTGTACGTACTTCAAATATCACGTCAGAAATCTTATGTATTATAATCATACGATTTAAAGATATATTCGAGAAAATGTCGAAAAATATCGCGAATTATAGAAAATCATTGAGTTAAATTTTGGATTCTGCATGTTTTTGCTTCAAATTTTTTGTCGTGCTCCGTACCTCTCCATCAGCGATATCAGCATACCGATAATTAGAAGAGAATGTTTTTAAAATACTGAAATTTTGCTTAAAATTTGCTGGAATTTTTGAATCAGATATTTCTGTGAAATTTCATAACTATATGACGTCTGGAAATTGTAAATAATATCACAGTACCTAATTTTTGAACAGCCCTCGTATATAGTAATTCAGTTGGAATAACAAAGTTGATTCCAGGAGGGGGGGGGGGGTCCAATATCCCTACACATGTTCATTTGAGCAAAGCAACTTATTTTGTGATTACATGTAAAATAGTATATTTTTTTTCCATTTGACTATAATTATACATATTTCGTTTCTTGTGATTAAAAGTATGTGAGAATCAAATATGTTTGCAGAAATTATAACCTTGCCCCATAAGTTTTAAGTGGGATTCTATATAAATGGCTTCCACATTATATAGGTTTATTTCTTGTGACAATTAAGACCTTTTATTTGGGTACCATTAATTTTTACCTTTTTGCACTATACACATTTTTACAGAAAAATCAAACTTTAAGTTTTTCCTAAATTTTTATCCAAAAAGGTGCTAGGGAAAAATGCCTAAATGTGTATTTTGTGACAACTGTCAAACAGGTATAAATATGTTTGACCTTAACCCTAGAGTTTGAACCACTTAAAAAAATTAAGATGTAATTTTTTGTCATTAAAAAACTAGGGATTACTATTTAAATCCATTATTTTTTTCTCAATGGATACCAACAATTTGAACCCTTTGACATTACCTTTGAGTTTGACATATATTTAACAATACCTGTAAATACTTCCATATGGGAAAAAGTGTTTCAAAAACACATCTTGTCTTCATTAAATTTGGTGGTGTCTCCTTAATGTATTTACAACAAACAAACAAATTACTAAAGAAAATATAAAACATGGTCATTGGTCATGCATATCTCTGCATTAAAAAAACATGATTTTGTATATCATATTATAACCCTTTCAAAATATCATTATGAGCTTTTCTGGTTCTTCAATTTCCACAGTGTTTCTAGACGTGTCGCCCATCTGTTTGTCTGAAAACATTTTTTACTTCTTAGAACCACTTGGCCAAGATTACCCGTATGGGTTATATAAGAAATATGACCCTGTGGTACACTTGTCCATCTGCCTGGTACGATTTAACCTTGTTCATCACGGTCATATCTACTGAACGAGAAGAGACAAGGCATTCATATAAAACTTATGTACATGTACTAGTAATTTCCTGTTCGTGCATGGTTTTTCGTTCGTGTAACAAGCAAGTGGACCTACTTGGAAAAAAATTAAATTGTTATAAATTCATCATTTTGAAAGAGAAAAGTGTCGGCAAATACAATTTATCAACCATGTATATTATTACCTGAGATAAGACTTTTCCAAATAATTCATGACTATTTCTATAACCTGGACCTTGAAGCCTAACCTACTTTTCAAAATTGTTGCATTTGCTTATAACTTTTGATTGAGATGAGATATGACTCACAGGTGACATGTATATTAATTACACATAAGAATTCTACGTTTCCTAGGTATAGCTTTTGGACCCCTTGATAGATGTTCGATATCCATAATTTTCAAAATATTTAACTCGCCTAAAAGATGATTAGGCTTCTGAGTAACATAAAGGAGGACTTCAGGGAGGACAGGGCTTTTTGCAAAACAAACGTCAAATTTCCAATCAATTTGCCCTCCGTTTGGAGCAAAATGACTAAAACCTTGTTTTTGTTCATAAAAGCATATGGCGAAAATATTACCTCGGCTAAATCAGCGCTGCATTATGAGGTCCATAGTAAAGGAGGATGTCAATTTTTAGAAATCTGGTTTCGTGAACGAAGTATTAAGGGTTATTTAACCCTAGAAAATGATAAGAAACGTGTAAACATTAACAAAAATAAAAGGTTTTTATTTTGTTATACTGTAACAGTCATTATGATTGAAAAAAATGGTCATATGTGTTAACCAGTAACTCGGAAATTGATCATGTCGTGTAAAGAAAATTGTTTTATCAAATTTAAAGATACGTAAAGTGGAGGTTGGAAAAATCGGAAATATTGTCTTACAGTGCTGCTATCCTATAAGTTGACAATTCTATCCTATCCTATCGTGAACTGGATCCACAATCCTATCCTGTGATTTCAGTCTAATCCTATCCTATCCTATCCTGCAACTCTCAGTTTTTTAATATTTAGGAATTAATTTGATAAAACGAAAAAAAAATGGAATTACCAGAAAGAAAAATCAGTTATAGTTATGGTAGTGCATTTAAATGTTATATATTTTAATGGAGAAAAATAATCGAGATCGGCATTCCATAATTCCCGACTCCACCGCGCAGAATTAAATTTAGGAATTATCATTACCATGTTAAAAAAAAATATTAACAAACGGATCGTAATTAACACGTGCACAAGTACTGATTTTGCAAACATATGTAAAGAAATTGGCCTACCAGAAGAATTAAGAAAAAGTATACTTAGTGTTTTAATTTTCCTACTAACAACGAATCGGGATACCGGGATCCCTACTTGCGTCTTGGGTGTGTAATATTTGATTATTTTTAAAAATCATAGGCCTATACGGTAATAATGTTTAAGTATATGTTTCATGTAAAATTTTATTTTTTCCCATTAAACTGAGCACCATGAAAATAACACGTGTGTACATTTATAGTCTAACTGTGCCTGTGTAACAGGTTTTTCTGTATACAAAAGAAAATATGATATGACTAGACCATAAACCAAACAGACAAGTCAAAATTTAGATCTAGAATATCTTGACTTTCACATATTAAACATTTTAAATGTGAAATTGTCTTATTATACACAAAATTTTAAATGTATGATTTTTTTTTAATTTAAATTCATATTTTTTTTGTGAAGATTTTTCAAACATGCAAAACATAAAATATATAGTTGAATAAAATTCAAGATATTCAAAATGTTAATTTTTTTTATCTTTAACTTCAGTTTCTCCTCAGTTTATGGTCAGTGAGCACCGTACAAATGTATTTCAATTTCCAATTTTGATGTGTAACATTTAATAATTTATGTTTAATAGAATATATTTTCTAAATTTGATATTGGTTGACAGATTGACATTAATAAATATTCGTAATAAGGTCACACATGATCCTAACAATTCTTATAAAACATGCATGAGAAATTCAGAATTCACAGTATTTACATGTAAAACTTATTCTTGAGTAAAGCAAGTTTTATTTGACCTTTGCATTTGATCTTTAATGTTAATCAGTGTCTGATTGAGGATATTAAAATGCTCCACACATATTCCTTAGATCGTATAAAACATGCATAAGAAGTCACAGTATTTTAGCATTTATAACACATTCTTGAGTAAACTTTGTATTTGACCTTGAAATTGATCTTAAATTTTTCAGTATTTAACGAGGAAAACATACTTGATTCCTCACACAATATTTTTAACAATTACAATGTGTATCGATTACCACGAGACAGTCATTAAAAGTATCCATGTACAGCATTTATGAATTTCAATGCCAAGATCACAGATACATGTACATGTACTTTGTTTAAATTTAAGTTTATCAATGTTTTTATTACACTTGTATAATGTTTTAAATGCATATAAATTGGCTTTCTTAACCGACGCTCAAATTGAAATTCAAATGTCAGAGTTATTGTCAGAGAGATGGTCATAAAACGAACAGTTCTACAAATGTCAACAATGCACAGTAAAAACAAACATCTATCTCCTTAACAAATAGCACCATGATTTTAGACTTAGGACTCTTTGATAGTGGTTTGAACATCTTTCATCATTTACTCTAACAGCATATGGCATGAACTGCATTCTGTACAGCTGCAAATGTTCAGGGTTTCCTGAAATAAATTATGAATGTTGATTCATGATTGTAAATTTTGTCATACACATTTCATACACATTTAACATGTTTAAAATGTTTTTGATTGTGATTATCTTTCACTTTTCATGTAAAATTGGTTTTAATTTCACCTTTTTCTTCTCCCAAAAGTAATGCGTTTAGAAATCATGAAAAATAAAATCTTATACTGCAACCTCAGGCATATAATTTTTTCTGAAAATCTTATTTAACATAATTTACTTGTACACTATAATTCATTTTATCTTGTCAACTTGCTAACAAGTATGAATACATTTGTTTTAGTGACTTTTCTCTATTTTCTGCTTGTATTTATCTATTTAATTTGTTTTGTTTGTTTGTCTTTTTTTTGGTCTTGAAATTTGAATATGAAAAATCTATGTAACAACAACATGATAACCAGAAAAATTCAACATTTCTTTCAGTTTTACTCTCAATATTTTTGAAACAAGAAATCACTTGTTCCCAGAAACTGCGGACATGTCACGTCAATTCAAATAATGATGTTTAATATGTTTTTTATTACCATGTAAAAATACATGATAAAAATAAAATCATACATACTTTTTAAGTTGAAATCCTTTATACCGTGATGACGCATGAGTGCAGGCATTCCATTTTCTGTAATGATTAAAATTAAAAGATTAATTTATGTTTCATAACTCACAATTACATCATACATACATGTATAATATGTAAGTGCACTGCTGAGTGAGCTTATTACATGTGTTATTAAACATTTAAGCAGAAGCATTAGAAATGGTCATGATGATTCTACATTCATTTATTATTATACAGAAATGAAAAAAAAATTCTGACCTTATTAGGGAAATGATAAGAGTAACAACCTGATAAAGGCATAATACATATGATTGTTTTAGTCTTAGAGCTCATTGATAGCTGATTGAATCATATGACATAGTATTTGTAAATATTAACCCCCCCTTTCTGAGTACACTACTTCTTTTTTCCTGATCCTAATTTTTGTTTATATTAAAAAGAATAAAATGTTTATATTTTAAGACATTAGAACATTGTTTAAAGGGATAAATATGTATAAAAATGCACATATGTACAGTGCACAGTGTGAAGTATACTTACATGATCTCGCACATCATCTATTCAAGTCCGCTGTTGACGGTTCCTGTAGAATTATCCAAACAAACAGAGGGTATTTAACAGAAAAACATGTATCGCACTTTTACACAAGTAAGAATCGGTTAAATCATCCAAACAAGCTAAAGAAATACGGTCTTTCGATGTCTGTACTTTCGTTGTTTACATTCCCAAATTCTTCCGGTGATCGTTCACGGTTAGATCGTACGCCGTGTTACTCGAAGTTTATAATGTAAATCTGTGTTTAAATAGAAATGAATGTTTTATTTTCTATTGAAAATTGATAAATATTTCTTTTGTAAACATTTTATATCGTATTTCGTTTTTGTAATTTATTCTGAAATATGAATAAACATTTGCTAGAATCTGATTGGCTGTAGGATACAGGATAGGATAGGATTGGATTAACCTTATATGTTTCTATCGTGAATCCTCAATCCTAATCCTATCCGACCCCATCCCATGTCAACATGTGGGATAGCAGCACTGTAAATTCATATGAAGTTCAATAAATTAAACAGGTATGCTAATTTATTTTCATCGATTATATTCTCTTTCGAAGAGAGTCATTTATATTACGTATCCCGGTCGGCCTATTGTCCGTTATTCTTGACCAAAATATGCAACAGAACAACAATAAGCTGGATATTTTAAAACATACGATTTGTACAGATTTAAAGTTTATGTTTTGACAAACTTGGAAAATGCTGCTAGAATCCCGAGTTAAGCATGGTTGTAGGAAAAATCTCGATTCATATGTAGAAAATTCAAAACCAAGGGTAAGGTTTCGTGCGAATGTGTGGAATAAATATTTTACAGACAAGATAGTTGGATTCTAGCAGCACTTTTTAGACAAAATAGATGTTTTTCAGCTATATTACATACTCAAAGAAATTATCAACTCCGGGTTTTGTTGTTCTGTAAGCTTTTTTATTAAGGAAAATTTTGCTATTAATAAAAGTCACGTGATGCCGTGGCGGTGATGCACGTCTTTGCGTTAGACACGCTTTTATTTGTATGCAATAGTAAATAACAGTTTACATTTATCAGTGGTTTTGGTAATTTATTAAACTAAATTTTTTTTCAAAAGACTAAATTTCCCAAGAAATTACTTATATGTCTTCCTTCAACATACCCACGTACTGCACATCTACATGACACCACCATCATCTCTCAAAAGATGATTATGCTACTGTGTAAAAAGTAAGAGAAGTTCAAGGAAGATGGGGCTGTTTGCATAAAAAACATCATTTTGACCCCCCATTTGACCCCCGGGCAAAATCAGAATCCCAAAACCTAACTGCACATCTACATGACACCACAAACCATCTCCCAAAAGGTTATTAGGCTGCTGTGTAAAATGTAAGAGGAGTTCAGGGAAGATGGGGCTTTTTGCATAAAAAAACGTCATTTTTACTGCCATTTGACCCTCCGGGGCAAAATCTAAATTCCAAGCCTTACTGCACATCTACCTGACACCACTAACCATCTCCCAAGATGATAAGCCTACTGTGTAAAATGTAGAAGGAGTTCATGGAAGACGGGGCTTTTTGCATAAAAAACATCATTTTTTCGACCCCCATTTGACCAGGGTAAATTCAAAATTCCGATCCTTGACCGCACATCTACATGACCCCACCAACCATCTCCCAAAAGGTGATTAGGCTGCGACAAAATGTAAGAGGAGTTCAGGGAAGACGGGTCTTTTTGCATAAAAAGGTCTTTTTCCCCCCCTTTTTACCCCCCCCCCCGGGACAAAATAAATTTCCGAAACCTTTCTGCTTTTTACCTAATCCAACAACCATCTCCCAAAAAGATGAATAGGCTACTGTGTAAAATGTAGAAGGAGTTCGGGGAAAGGGGCTTTTTGCATAAAAAAAACATTATTTTTCGACCCCTATTTAACCCCCTGGGGCAAAATCAAATTTCCGAAACCTTACTCCACATCTCCAAGACACCACCAACCATCTCCCAAAAGGTAATTAGGCTGCTGAATAAAATGAAAGAGGAGTTCAGAGAAGATGGGGCTTTTTCATAAAAAACATTTTGCCCCCCCATTTGACCCCCCGGGGAAAAATCAAAATTCCAAAACCTTACTGCACATCTACATGACACCACCAACCATCTCCCAAAAGATGATTAAGCTACTATGTAAAATGTAGGAGGATTCAGGGAAAAAAAGTGTGACAGACGGACGGACGGAAGGACAGGGGACAGACAACGGACGGCATGAGTAACACAAAACCCGAATTTTCTTTAAAAGTGCGGGATAAATACATTTAATGGATAGGACTTGGCCGTAGTTATTGACAGTCATACCGCATGCATCAGCTGGTTGTCACTTGACTTGTATAAAAATATTATTTTAAGCTGAATGTAGGAAATGAAGATGGGCAAGGGCATACGCTTGTTTTTCAAAAAAAAAATTAATACACATTTAAAGATGTTTATTTTCTCTACCCAAAAAGTGCTGGGGGCTAGCTGTGCTTTTGCTAAGTACTGAATATTTTGCCAACATGCTTATTATATCTAAAAAATTTCAAATTACTTTAAAATTTTGTTAAAAATAAATAATGTTATGCTACCAGGATCAGCTCCCAGTACTTTTCAAAATATACATTATACTATAAAACAATTAAAATTCCAAATTTCAGCTCAAACAAAATAGTTTATGTCCTTGACTTTTGATGTAAATCACGAATACGCTTTTTGTTTTACCATATTTCTAAATTTCGCAGCTCCAATGCTATAATTAATTTATATTCTATACAAATTGTATTTTATAAATTATTTTCTTTTAATTTTTAACAATTATATAATATTCATTTTAGCATTCTTGTATTTTTTAAAACAGTGAGTCTAGTCTTCTGGGTATCTGTGCTGCGTCATGTTAAGACTATGAGTCAAATTTGACGAAAAACTTTCCATTGCATTGCTATCAAGTATTGTAATTTTACAAGATTTTATAAATAATTGAAAAAATAAATTAATTCATGATCATGTCGTTAATTAATTTCTGTGGCTTTTTAAAATTTCAATGACTCACAATTAAGCTTCCAATATGGTGCACCAGGAATGTGAATTTTGACCTTCCTTTACATAGCTGTTGATAAACCCCTTCTATCTGGAACCTGTGTTACTTATTATGGAAAGTGGAAATATGACCATGTTTAATTAATGACAAACACAGATGTTGATTAAATGATTTGAAATAAAAAAACCCGTTGCCCTAAAATGTCATTATACAAAGGTGCAAAGGGGACCAGCCAATAAAAAAGGAATGCTGGTTTTAGAAACAAGGTTCAATCAAAAGTAGTACCACAACTGCTTAAAAAATTTTGTTTGACAATTTTTATATACTTTTTAAATTTTATGAAACATACAACACAAGCTTCGCTATCTGATGTTTTTATATAAGTTTTTGTTATAAGTGCATGAAATATAAGAATTTGTTAGATAGGCAAGCTATTGGTCTATGTTTTTGGAAACAAAATGAGCTGTAAAATTGATGAAATTGCATAAAATGTGAATATTTGGAAAGGACCATTTTCTTACCTTACTGTGATTTTTGAGTATGCCAAAATTTAAATCAAAAGTCAATTTGTTAGGGATGACCCCAGATCACAGATTTTTTTTTATAATGCTGCATCTCAAAAAACAAAGAAACCCAGGGCTAAATGGGGTTTTAAATTAACCTGTCCCTTTTCCAAAAACGAAAACAACATATTGCACCTTTTTTTAAATATAAAAGACAATGCAAAAGTATATCGTTTGTAAACAAGTTAAATTGAATGAAAAAAAAGGCTACAATCTTTCCCACCCCCTTAATAGTCCACCTTTAGAAAGGGAAAAATTTAAAAACTACATGTGTATTACCAAGTAACATTAAAGGAGTTAAAATATAGAGACTGTTACACCGAAATTTTCTGTTTTTAAATAAAAACCCCAAAGTTTCCAACAAAGTTTAATTTGTATTCCCTAAACTTTTAAAAAAGACCATTGAGTAACTAATTGAGCACACAAAAATTTAGCTAAATATTAAGAACTGCCAAGCCTACAGACTGCCAATCACTGCTAAATTAACCCGTTAATTGTGAACACTATGAATTCTGCATTTTCTCATGGCCAGCACTTCGGACATTCAATCCCCCAGCCTCGGGTGATAAAAGTCA